GATCAGCTGTGTGTGTGTGTGTATAATGTGATGCTTATGACACTAATCATAATACAGCAGCTTCTGTAATAACACACTCCTGCTGTCCTCATTCCTCCACTATCAAACCGCACACACTCCTCTGAGGCCCACCACACACACACACACACACACACACACACACACACACACACACACACAGTGCGGTGTGGAGTGCGGTGATGTGCTGCGCTGCTTCCCCTCAGTGATCAGTGCTCATCCTCCGTCTGTGAGGGACGGCGGCGCTCAGACAGTAACTCTGTGATCATCATCTGGATGTTTGCAGAAGAATAACGACACTGAGGGAGGAATATTAAACTGATGAACACGACTGAGGCCCGCTGCGCTGTCAGGCCGCTTCAACAGCCGCGAGCTGCACATCTGCAGACTAACCTGGACTAACTGTACCCTGCTGAAGATGAGGAATGCTGAAGAACTGTGTGTGTGTGTGTGCGTGTGTGTGTGTGTGTGTGTCTATATCTCATTATGTGTGTCTGTGCCGTTTCAAGCCAGCAGGTGGCGCCAGTCGCCTGCAGATTCCTTATCAGGACACTGAACACAAATGAAGCACAGCCCTGTCCTCTAGAGCCACACACACACACACACACACACACACACACACACACACACACACACACGGAAGCAGTGTCCTCTTTCTCTGCAGCTGTAGTTTAGGTGGTTATTTTAAAGTAATATGCAGGCAGTCATTCTGGTTGGCAGTTTCAGCATTTTCAAAGTATAACAGACAGCCAATCAAATCAAAGTAGGTGTGGTTTGCCCTTCACTGATTGGAGAATGAAGGTGTGGGTGTTTACAAACAGGTTTCTGAATCATGCAGTGAAGAACACCCCCCCCCACCCCCAGCGGTCACTATGGTGATGGCCTATCAGCTATTACACTGAGAAACGCCCCTCTGTTGTGGCCACGCCCACTGCTGTAGCGTCCTGCAGAGCTGTAATCAGGAGTGTGTGTAGATACACTTCACCACACACGGTCATGAGAAACACAAGCAACACTACTCACCGTCCTCATTCAACACCAAACACACAGTCATGAACCCGAGCCCGAGTCAGAGAAGGGTTCGGCCAGTGTGGAGACCGCAAATACCAGAGCAGTGATTTCCAGATGTGCTGTGACGTGTGTTTGACAGTATGAACACAGAATATCTGCTGTGGAGCTGCTCATCTTCAGCTCATGTGTGAATCTCCATCCCCTGCTGTCAGTCAGAGCTCAACACACTGCAGAAACAGAGACATCCTCATCGGGGTGATGCTGCGTTCACAGCAGACGTGCATGAAGCATCAAGCGTGAGGGATTCACATGTTAATGCACAGACGTGAGTAGTCCTCCTGCGGCGCGAGCGGAGCGTGTTGTGCGATTGCTGCGCTTCATGTGTGTTTCGTGTCAATCGCTCGAGTGGTAAAACCTGAACTTCAGTGGACGGTCACACCGCGTTAACCAATCGGGAGCTTGCTCTTGTAGGTGCGTGATTATGATGTAGCGCCTGTTGTTGGTGTCCCGGGGGGAAATCCTGCTGTCGACACCGGACTACAGCTCATCACACTGGGCTGGGCTCGGTCTGCAGCACCGCTGAGCCTCCGTCATCAGTGGCGTAGCGCAAAATGCGGAGGCCCCCTGCAGGGATCACTGACGGGGCCCCAAGTTGGGGGGAAACGATCACAAATTGAGGAGCGGGCAAGGGAGGCGGGGTGGAGCGACAGCGCGGGTAAGCCTTCACAAACTGAGGAGCGATCACAAACCGAAAGCGGCGAGAGCGCCAAAGTAGCCAGAAGTCAGTCATTTTTAACGAGAACCGGCGGCGAGGAACAGCGCCACCTGTGAACTTTGGTTCCGATCACAGTTGTTCCCAAGAGTTTGATTATTGCGGTTGCCAGATTCTCAATTATTGAAAATCGAGCCGATGTGGGGCCGCCTAATCACGCGGGCCCCCTGCGGTGTGTGCCCTGCGGGCCCGTCCGCTACGCCACTGTCCGTCATCCAGCAGTCTCTGGAGGAGCTGATGAGCTCAGAGCTGCTGCACCTCTGAACGGGGCTAGTGGACTCAGACACGGCTCCAAATGAACCGGCACCGTTCATCAGCCCTCACACATCACATGACCACAGCTGCTGTCTCATGACCAGGACCCGACACGACTGAAGCGAGAACACGCAAATCTTCACGCGACCATTTACACACCAACAGCACGGTTCATACAGCGTCTGCCGTGAACACAGCATTAGGCAGAGCGCCGCTACTCCTACAGGAGGAGCTCAGCACGGTGTGTGTGTGTGTGTGTGTGTGTGTGTGTGTGTGTGTGTGTGTGTGTGTGTGTGGGACTTAAACCTGAATGCACACAGACTCATGGGGACTTGTGTCACTGTGGGGACGTGAGCAGAGGGCTCATAACCCAGCCGGAGTGTGGAGATGAAGAAGAGCAGAGTGAGCTGTGAGCGTTGAGGAGAGAGAATACACTACAGAACACACACCACTACAGCTGAGTGTGTGTGTGTGTGTGTGTCTCTGTGTGTGTGTGTGTGTCAGAGCTGGCCACACACACTGATTCTTTCAAAGAGGACAAAAATCCAGCTCAGCTCCTGTGCCTTGCTCTCTTTCTGTCTGTCTCTCTGTGTGTGTGTGTGTGTGTGTGTGTGTGTGTGTGTGTGTGTGTGTGTAAGTAGGCCATGTAAAGATAGTTGCTTCAGGCAGCCTCAATTCTGGACCCTAAAATATCATCTGAAGCGTAGAGATGGAGCAGCG